AAGAGACAAAACTACTGCATTAAAGGTCAATAAAGGTTTCAAGTTCAAGTTTCAAGTTTAATTCAATAAATAATAATAATTTACACATGAGTAGTTAGCGGGCATCGCAATTAGTTAAGACTATTCAGGGCGATGCCCGCTATAAATACTAATTTAGATTACAAAATGTAAAAGTTTATAACAAGACAATGAAGAAAAAAAGAAAATTTTAATCAGGTTTATGTGAGAAAATGTTCTGAAAAAAGAGAAAAGGAAAAAAGAACGATTGAGAAAAAACAAAAACATACTGACAAGAAGAATAAGCAGCTATGTGATTAGTTATTTAGTACAGTCAGGAAAAGCTGAGTAGCCCTGTCAATTCCAAAATAGCTCCCCTCATTCCGCAACATGTAAAATAAATTTGAACGTATAGATTTTTTGAACAGAGGCTTTGGATATTCCCTTATAGAACTGGGAATTGCGTTCCAAAATCTTACACCGGCTCTAGAGAAAGAGTTAAGTTGAGAGTTTAACCTGGAGGGCATTGCTATACGTCTTCAGGCATTTGAAATAATTCTGACTGCAAACAGATGAATTGTGATTAAATTGCACACTATTGTTTGCATGACCATTAATAAGCAAAACCACAAAGAGTTGATAGGATGATTGATTTGCAATCTTTCTTATTAACTCTTTCCCGTTCGCCCCTTGAAATTTAGGTCGAATTCGACCTATGCGTCAAAAATCTATAAGCTGCCGAAATAGTAAGCTAGAGGCCTGAAATTGCTCGTACGAACTTACTAGTAGATACTGTCGATCTTACAGTTGAAAGAATTTTTCGCAACGAGAAAACAAAAGACACAAAACAGTACTCTGCTTTGTGTTTGAAGGACCGCAGGGTACACTGATTTTCATCTCAATTTGTAGCGTCAAAATATGTTCTCCTAGCAAAAAGTCCACTTGGYTTGCAAACCCCTTTGATAGAATGTCCTTATTTCGACGATTTTATTTTGTCAAAATGCACTGCAGATTTTTAAACAGCTCTCTTTTGAAGACCCGGTACAACAAACTTCTATGCACGATCGAAATGCATCATGGGAAGACGGAAAATTTGGACATAAATCGTGCAACATTCTTGTTTTAAGAATTTGTTTAGAAGTGTAAGCTCTCCCGCACCTACAGGCAAAATATCGGGCCAATTGCATTCTTTGGTTGTCAAATATTTCCAAAATTACCTTGGTAGGTTGTAAAATCTACCACAGATTGACCAGGAAAGCGATCAGGAAAGCGAAGATTGTCTATGCCGACTAGTCAAGCTTAATTATGCAAGCCTAGGGACTCCTGTGGCAGCAAAACAAGCTAAAAAAACTTATAAACGGTTTTTTAGGTAATTTTAGGCTCAACCGGTCGATAAACAAACGGTCTGACCTAAATTTACAAAGCGTTGCATAAATTAATACTCCCTAGGGAATTTAAACCCGAAATAGTTTTATTGRCAGCACCTTATATGGAAGTCAATTATTCTATCAAGATGTTAGTATCGAAAAAGCTCAAAAATCAACAAATCAACATCCGTCGACAATGAGTTAAAGGGACACTGTCAATGGATGACRTGCGCAGTAACAATCTCACCTCTAACGGACTTTGAAAGTATTACCTTCGAGGTAAATCATTTTGTGGTGCTTTTGACAYACTTTGGAATATTCTAGATTTGTTTACGTTTACGAGCTAATTTATATCGCGCCAACTTGGAGTCATAAACTTGAAAACACTAGCCTAATGTTTTCAAGTTTACTCGCGCATGCGTGCCATTGACAGTGTCCCTTTAAGATAAGAAGTGATCTCGAATAAATCTTCCAATAGACGTAAAGGAAGGCTTCATTACATATACAAACTTTGAAACAGTCGCTCAAAAATGTTTTAATGAACGYCATCTGGGAATATGGTTATTCCTACATTGCATACGATAAATTTAATGCCATGAAACCATTTTTAAAATTCGTATATCTAATGAAGCTTCTTTGACGTCATTTTCATTAACTGATATTGTAAGATTGAACCTTCATAACTCAAAGACACAACACAGAAATGCAGGAATATTTCACCATTCATTTATTTATTTTATATAGAATCAGAGAATCAGAWTTTTTTTGTCATGAGTCATAGGCACTTTGATAAATCGGTCAAAAAGATGATGTTCATGAATCACACGAGTGCACTGAATCAGTCAAAACTGAATCGAAATCTCATAACCATTTAAGAAACCTATAAAAGTATAAACATATCAGTATTCTAATCTCTTAGTGTGTCCTTGGTCTCTGCTCAAACTCAGCAAATTTTACAAAAMAAAAACTTGAGKTTGCTGAGGGATAAATTCTCACCATAAATTTTTTGTAATATTTCAGTTTTAAAATCTCAGGCTGTTATTTGGTTTGTAATAAGTCTTTTCTAATTTTCCTGAATTTAATAACTGAATTATCCTAGAAATGGTCCACTTTGCTGACATTTTAAAGGTAATGTTTCAATACCAGTGTTTTGTAAGATGAGTTAACTTCAACCACAATTCAATAATGGGATTTGTTGTTCTATACACCCCCGATCACATCCGATCACAAGTTTCCTCAAAACAGAGGAACAATGGAGAAACCCAATTGGTGGGACAATTCCGGCGATTATATATATGAACACTAGGCTTTAATTAAAGGGAAATTGACCGACTGTTCCGCTCGCGTTCATTTGAAAGAAAGTAAACATTTTCGCTAATTGCTCAACTTAAAAAGTGCATAGTGAAAAAAACGTGCATGTTTTTTTTTCTGCTTATAATCTTGTTATTGATACATTCATTACGCCATAAAACGTAAATTGATAAGAGAAGTCAATAAAAAAAGACAAATCGCAAATAATTTGCTAAATATAGGGAAAATGATCACTTCGCGATCTTCAATTTTTTCGGGGGCGGTGTGCATTCACTCGCCTGCCATCCTTGGTGTTTTCCTTGAATCTGATCTAAAATGAACTCAACATTTAAACATTTTCTAATTGGTGCCTATTAAATTAATTCTCAGTAATTYGTCTTCATTCTCAAACGTGTTGTTAAAAACAGCCTTAATCAACCAAATCAGAAGAATATAAGGTAATGGGCACCTGGATTACGTTTCATCTCGTTTTACAATCGTTGAATACCTCTGTAAAAGTTTAGTTCRATGGAAAAGAAGCAAGGACACGAAAAGGCTGCAAACTACTTTTCTACGTTAGTTTKTACTCATGGAAAATAACTCTTCAAGTACCGTCCCTGCTCTGTGCTTCCTCTCACTACCAGATTTTGATCCCTACAACACGACAAATCTTCCAGATTCAGTCAACACGATTCGAACCGTTCTTTCTGTTGTCAATGGTGTAGCGTCTCCTCTAACAGTCGTTGTTAACGCGTTGGTTTTTTGGTCTGTGCTAGGAGATGAAGAGCTACGGTCATCTTCTTTTAACGTCTTGCTGGTAGCTTTATCAGTTATCGATTTTCTGATGGGACTGCTTGTTCAACCAACATATTCCTTCCACATTCAGTATCTTGTGAAAAGTCGGTTTTCGCCTTGCACATACACCTTTTATGTTTTGACTGCTGTGACCCTGGGTGGTTTGTCATTGTGTACTTTAACTTTAGTAAGCTTGGAGAGATACCTTGCTATCGAACATCCTAACTTTTACCGCAAGATGGTTACAGTAAAAAGAGTCATGTCAGGAATTGTGATGTACTTGGCAGTAAATCAAACTCTTTTGATTAGTGTCACAACTTTTGCGATTGTTAACAAGAGCAAACTGTTCGTAGTTCCACCCATGGTTAACATTGGTGTTAATAATCTATTCATTTTGTACTGCTCTATCAAAGTTCAAGTAGCAGCTTACCGCCAGCGTAGAACCATCGCCCTACAGCAAGAATCAGTTCAKCAGCCCGATGAACAACAACGACAACAAGAACGACTCAAAGAATACAAACGAGTGTTCATGACGACCATATTAGTGATCGTGTCGATTCTCTTTCTCGTTCCTTTCATAATACTCTCAGTGATACAAGCCGTCACAGGTGAAGATGTCAGGAGCGATTTAAGCCACATCGGCATTCCTATCTGTCTGACATTACTTCATCTCCAGTCTCTTATCAACCCAATCCTCGTCTCACTGCGTCTATCTTATATTCGCACAAGCATCAAAAACAAACTAATAACTTGCTTTAACTGAAACTGAAATCCCTGTGTAATCGGTTGCCGTTATCTTTCAGTTTCTATTTTTTTCTCAGATTATTTAACAATTAGACCTCGAGGTCGAGTGGACTACGAGCTAATAGCCCATGAGGCCGAGTCCGTATTCCACGAGGCCGGGAGGTCTAATTGTTTTAGTATAAACATACTAATCGGCTAAATAATGAAAAAAATTGAAATATCCTTAATTAATCCTTGATTTTCCCGCGAGTGGTCTATCACAAATTAGACCACTAGTAGAGTAGCCAATCAAAGCGCAGTATGAGTGATAGACCATTAGTATGTTTATACTAAACATAGTTAGTAGAGGGTAAGACTTGTCTCCGGCTCTACTAACTATGAATTATATATCTTTCTACTGCTTCCCGGTTGTTGTGAACATTCATCACTTGAAAACCGTTGAGATTAGCGGAACACATGAAATCTTGAGAACATTGCCATTGCAGCATAATTTGACTTTCGTTGATATTCCCTGTWWATCGCGTTATGTGATGACCGTGTGAAGATTGAAAGAAATTTTTCTTTATTTGATTTCCATCATAACTTCAACATATTGGAAACTAGTGTGAGCTTTGTCRGTGTTTCTAAAGAAACAGTTGTGTAAAAAGATATTAAATTTACTAACAGTAAAAAAATATAGATTTCTTCATGGAAAGTGTTGACGTACGGGATTTCCGCACTAGTTGGTGATGAATCTTAAATCGAACGAGTGAGCGTAGCGAACGAGTGAGATTTTAGATTCAAAACCAACAAGTGCGAAAATCCCCTACAAAAGCACTTTCCATGATTCATTTTYCATTAAGTTTGTTTATTATATACATACTGAGATTTTATAGCGTCTACTAGACCGACTTTGTGCATTTTAATGACGGTTTTGTCTGACAAACTCGCTTGAAGTTATTTGCGATCCACATACGATACAATTTAATGSCTGAATTGGACAATTATAAATAAGTCGCATCAAGAACTCAGTTAATAGTCAATTTTTATTCAATTGAATATGATGAAAATAACGAAAGCTGAATTAGAGGAAAGTGCAAACAAGCCTACAAAGCTTAATCAATGAAATTTGTTTACTTTCTATCGCAGTCGTCGCGAATCAACTTTTATACGCGTTTTATTTGTATAAATATGTTCTGTTTTCTATAATTTTGTAGAAGATGAAGTACATTTACGACTTATATCTAATACTGAGAAACTTCCGACATACAATACAGCTTCCTTGAACAGTTCTGCTGCGGCTGGCGATTAAAACTTAAAAGTAGATTCCGATTAAAACTTGACAATAAATCTTAAGCACCGGCTGCTGGTTCAAAAACTTTCATGTCTTTTCGATTCAAAATCAGAATGAATTCGTCAGAGTTGTATTCGTTCAGTTATTTCCTTTCGGTCTCTTGGATTTCTTTGCTTAAAGTAAGACTGTTTTTCTCTCGGAAATTCATCGAGTAGCTTTTCATTCCTCGCGGCGTTTTAGCTGTTGTATTTTTGTTTTTTGTCCTGACATTATTAGCTGTTCGCTTTCTAAAATGCTTTGTCTGCGTATAAGAACTTGAAGTTGTTGATTGATGCTACGTTTACACATAGTTAATAGATGAGGTGACGGTTTCGACGGCCATCTTGGACCGGTAGGCATAGTGTCGCAAAATAACAAGGAATGACCGGGAAATCGATGTCAAATATTAGGGACCGTTCATATTTTATCAGGGAGGGGGGTCGGCGGAATTTAAGGGGGTCAGGAAAATAAAACAGGCCCTGTTAGGGGGGGTCAGGAAAAAATACTCTAGAAAATATAAAGAATTGTGTTTGAATCTATATATCAGCTCAGTATATGCATTCAGAATTTTTTTTTGCGTATGTTTGTGTGCATTATTACCGTGTCCAGACCGAAGGTCTGCGGCACGGTTATAAAATGCAGCGACTTTATTATTATTTTTTTCACGTCTCAGTTTTGCAATCCCTAGGCCACCATCGATCCTCGACTGGAGTACTTCTGAAAACTTCTTTTTTTTCTTTCTTTCTTTTTTTAACTGAAATATAAGTGTTCCAGTCATGTTAGATTTTTACTCGTAGCAATTCGTTATATTATTAATATTTACGAGCCGCGTTTGTTCAATTTTAGAAACAAGTGAAACAAGATGATACTTGATGATATAGTCATTTTGATTTTCTGTAGATTTTGTTTTTAACACAATTATTTTCGAGCCGTCATTATTTGATTTTTACACAAACTATCGTACTCGAATAGCGTCGAACTTAGGATCGCGGCGCAGATTCTCGACTCGATCACTTCTAAGCGATTCTTTTTTGTTTTCTTTTTTTATTTACTGAAATATATTTATTCTTTTTTTTTCCTGTAGATATTTGTTTTACATATTTTACACTCAAGATCATACTTGAATAGCGGCGGCGTTGAACTGACGATCTCTGGTTCGATTCTCGACTCGAGCAGCTTCTAACATTTTACGTTTTTCTTCCTTTCTTTAACATTAAAATATACTCGTTCTTTTTTTTCTAAACTGAATCATTTCATGCAATGCAAACTTTGATCTTATAAATTCTCTGAGGATAATGTGAATGCAATCTAAATGCTAAATTTTCGCTGCAATGATACAAATATTCAAAAAATGATATGAAAAGATCTTACGCAAAATCTATCAAATCGATTGCGGTGCTGGTAAAAGTATATATTAGAGCGGATTTCGTATGAGTGGGAAACGGACGGTACTGTACTGTAACCGTAATCGTACTGTAACCAAATTCTAGTGCCCCACTGGTTCACCAAAATTGTGCAGGCCAGGTCCGGTAACTGTGCGGTAACCGTGCGGTGACGGTGTCCCACTCATACGAAATCCGCTCTAGCGTAGCCTGGACACGGTACGTTTCACCAAGTGGATCTTGTTTAGCAATTAGATCTCGAGGGCGAGTGGACTACGAGCTGATAGAGGCCGAAGACCGAATGGGCTCCTATCAACTCGTAGTCCAAGAGGCCGAGAGATGTAATTTTTTTAGTATTACCATACTAGTTGGACAAAAAATGAATAAAATATATAAATAACTAAATTTTTTTATTGCTAAAAATACACAAAAAGTTGTCGCTTTTCGCTAGTCGAGGACTATTGAAAATAGACCCCGAGTAGCGTAGCCAATCAGAACGAAGGACTTGCAATAGTCCACTAGTATGGTAATACTAAAAGTACATATCATACTAGCAATAAATTACCTTAATTAGAAAGACGAGAATCATACCGAACTATATAATGAAATGGGTCAATTCAGGTGCATCTTTTACCCTGTATTTTTGTTTAAAAATGTTAGAAATGTGAGATACTTAATTTTGTCTTATACTTTAAACTTTTTTGATAAAAAAACTAATATTTAATGGAGAAGTGCAGTGTAAAGAGGAAGTAGATGAAAATATGGTGCTTGCCATAATAGGGCAAGGTGAAGCCAGAGATGGAACCAAAGTAGCAAGTCGTCGGTCTTGGAGATTCATGAGTAGAATGGAAACTCTGACTTTTTTATTTTTTTAAAGGTTTAGCCCTTTATTACGGCAATCTATTTTTGATTTTAAGGTGTTTTGAGTCTGAGATTTCAAAATTTTAAAATCTAGGAGTTCTTAAAGGTTCATCATACTACTGCAGATTGCTAACATCATATTAGTGACTCAGTTTTTTTTTGTTGTTGTTGTTGCTGTTGTTGTTGTTTTTTTTT